TCCTTGTCTAGCCTTGATGGTCCTTTCATCTTTCCACCTGCTGATGGCACTCTGCCTTTTCCATGCCACTCCCACACTAGGACCCTTCTTTGGCTATTGATGTTGCTTTTTAAAGTCTCATTCATTTCTGATAATTTCCTACTTCATTTTCAGTGTCTCCCTTTTTGCTCTTGTGACCTATTTGATTGGGAGAAACTGTTTCTTCATCTAGCATATACATCTGTTGGGTTTTTCCTCCTTGTCTTTCCTGCCTTCAGAGTGTGAGCTCTTCACAGCAGAGGCTCTTTCTTTCTGCACAGCTGTAATGCTTCTTTCCTGCACTAAAAGCCTGACTTTCAGTAGTGCCAAGCATATAGTGGTAGTTTGTGTGCTACACTGTGGGTAATCTGAAACAAGTAATGAGAAAAAAACAAGCTTCCTTTCTCCCTAGCTCTGAGAAGGCTTTTTATTATTATTTTTTGCCTCCTGAAAGTCCTGAGTATTTTGCACAGTGATACAAGAGAAGCAAACCTATATAGTCTTGCCAGAATAAGAACTAAATAAGAACAGGGGAATTTAGTGTAAACTGCCAATTTGTATGTTATTTTACCTACTCTTAATTCTTCCATGAAGCTCTACTCCTGTTTTGAGAGGATTTTGGACACTGGAGAATGGTTTCCCCCCCACCCCTCCCGGAGATCTGTTTTGGTGACTGCATCTATTGCACCCTGTAGCTCTGATGCAGAGAAATAAGCCTTCTTGTTTCAAGTAGGAGGTTGGGAACGAGGCTGCAGAGTCTACAGAGAAAGACTAACGCACACATTTTTAAAGTGTTGCCTTGACTATTAGAGTTTGGGCTAAGATCAGGGACGGAATGTTTAAGCAGTTATTGTTTGAGAACTTCTGTTTTTTAGTTTTTGTGGGGCAACACTTCAGACAGCAACTATAATCCAGGAGTTTGGACAGCATACAAATTATGGGTAGGACTGAACAAAGACTATCTGTTTACAGCAAAGAGGGAGACAGAATGCAGAGACATCAAAGTGCAGAAGTAGCTTTCTGTTCACCTTTGGGGAAAAAAAATAGTTTCAGCAAATTCTTTTTCCTCTTGAGTGTGCTAGGCAGTTTTAACAGGGGAGAATGGTAGCAAAGTTGGCATTTATCACCCAGCTTTGAAGACAGTGGTAGGACAAACAAACAGCATCCTTTCTCACTTTATTCAAATGAATTTGCTGATCTGAAAGCACAGCTATGACAGTTACAAATGGATCAAAGTCTAATTTGTTTCTGGAATAGATCCTCAGATGGTGTAAAGAAACATATTGCCTCCTTTGTCGACCGTAGGCTTGTACCTATCTGCATCTGAACACAATCTGCTTTACTGCTAATATGCGTAGTGAAATTAGCTTTACTGCTAATAAGGGTAGTGTAAAGCCAGCATGCCCAAAGTATCCTTGTCAGACCTGGAAGTCTTTCAGTACCCAAAAACCAGGTGTCTTGTATTAGTGTTGTGTGGTGCAGAGGCTGATCTTAAACTAACTGTCTGAGCTATTCTTTTGTTTTCATTCTTGTACTGAGTTTTTTATTTTAATTTATCAGAACCATAAATTTCAGTATGATGATAGAGCATGTCTAAGAATCTTGACACAGACATCTTCTTTTATCTCCTTGAGTTTTGGAGCTGTTCATTTCCTTCTCAGAGTTATAGGCCCTGCATTCCGGAAAAGGTCTGGGAAAAGGCAATAAGCGTTATCAAAGATTTACTTTAAAAAGGCAATAAGTGTTATCAAAGACTTACCTGAAGAATAATATACTCTCCTGGCCCCAATTAGAGAATGGGCACCAGTTTGTTTCTCTTCAGATGAAGCATTCCTTCCATCCTGACTTATAAAGGGGAACAAAATCGCTGTTTCATCTCCCTCATGGTCTCTCTGATATATAAGACCTCTCAAAGGAAATTTACATCAGCCTGTTATGACTTTATACCTCCCCCATCAAATAATGGCCTTGAGCATGGAACAGAGACCTGAGGGAAATATGACAGAGAAGGAAGAGAGCCAAGCAATTAATAATATTTATAATGCTTCCTACATGCAATAATCTATGATAAGGTTAGGGCTTTTTTTCCTTTTTTCTTTATGTTAAATTTGCTGCATGAAGCTATACAAATATGTGTATCAGATAAGCATGGGAAGGAGTCCCTGTTTCAATGTGCTTGTTCTGTTTTTGACATAAGTTTAAGGTTGTTTTTTTGAGTACAGGAAATAAGAAATAGAATCAATTTAATTTAATACTGTACACTACCAATGTCTAGGGAGTCCTTGTGTTCAGCGATATCTAAGTCTTGCATAGCTATTAGTACACAACAGAAAACCTGTATATTTTGCTGAAAGCTCGTACATTTGCTTAAATAAATTTAAACAAAGAAAGGAAAAATATAATCACTACAAAATCATATGTCAGACAAAATGAGCAGAATGAAATATATTTTGTGTAGGTATGATTAGTGCCATCACATATAAAGTGCTGAGGAAACAAATAATAAGAAAGGAAAAGGCAGCACTTGAGAAGGGTGCACTTAACTGTATGGATTCAGGTATCCATATACCCTGAATAGCACATCACTCTGCTTTACTTGATTTGAATGGGTTCTTTATTAAGGGAGTTGCTACGTAGCATAATGGGGCCAAGCGTCTGACTTTAAGGACGTAGCTGCTGATTTAAAAAGTCAACAAGTCAAGTGACAGTACTAAGTGGAGCTGATTTTATGGTGGGCTTTTTGCACAGGTGAGGTTACCTAGTTTTTAATTACCTCAGACAGAACATCTTAACATGGATTCACTGGAGGACATATCAGTTGTCATTTTCTTGGTTTCAGTAAGTGCTCCGAGGTCTCAGTTGTTACTGTTTGTAAAACATGCATTGTAAATCTTATCCTATGTGAATATCCTTGGTTATTGATTCTTCTGTGAACTTGGCAGCCCTGTCAATAAAGGCAGAAAAAAAAATTAAAAGAAAATTGGTGTCCTTGCCTTATGCAGTAACCTGAACAGTTCTTGGGAATGAGTCTAGTACAGGCACAGTTGCACAGTTAATTAAAGCAGTAGCATCATTAGTATACTAATTCAGGAGTGTGTGAATGTTGAATCAGGATATGTCAGAGAACCATTGCAATTGTTTTGCTTCTGCTGCTTGGTTTATAGTTTGTTTAGTGTGAGTGTTTTTTTGTTTTCTGGAACTACGTGCAATTTAGGGTTAAAGGAATCAATCATATAACTTTTAGGCAAGACTTTTTACACTATCAGGAAAAGCACAGTGCTACTAGTTTATTTAGGTAGTAGGAGCCTGAGGAAGCTGTCATGGTGTGACTCATGATGGGTTTAGACTTCTGCTGATGGGAGCCATAGCAAGGCACAGGATTTTGAAAAATTGCTGTTCTGAATCCTAACTGATAGAGAATTTTTCCCTGGGTTGGGTTTCTCACTATCCTGTTTCTGCACCCTGGTTTATTAATGCATAGTTGGACTCCACCAGGGTAGTGCCACTGCTGTCTGAATACTCTAGTCAATCACAGGTTGGGAGAGTGTTAGGAAGAGGGGGAGAATGCACACACATACTGCTGAATGATGCTAAACCTCTGCTCCTGTCTCTGCCCTCATTTATGTGGAGCTAATTCCCAAGTATTTCTACTTAAAACTGTAGAAAAAAAAAAGAGTGCTGATGGAGAGACATGACTCCTTTTTTGAAAGTTTTACAAACTAGAATAATTAAATTTTCAGCACCTCACCCACTGCTAGTGAAAATAAAATATGATTCATTGTGTCTCATACAAAGTATGCACAAGAGAAGAATGTGAGCTGTATGTGTGTATTAAATAGCAAGGACCAAAATCTGCCCTAGCACAATACACTGACTGTGCTAAAAGATTCACGACCAAATAAGAATAAATGTTGGCCCTTTGTAAATCACAACAGAACTCGGGATAATGTCTGCAAGAATTCAACCTAGTGTAAGCAGCAAATTGCTATTTTGCTTGGGTTTGGAATAGCAGATCAACAGGACGATAGCCTCATGCCTGCAATCCATGATTTAATAAGTATTTTATCACTCAGGACCTTATCGTCATGGTTCACCCAACTTGCTATGGAGAACATAAAAATAACTGTTGATATTGTAAACCTCGTGTGAGCTCACCTTACTGTTTCAGGAATATTATATTTACTGTGAGCTTACGGAGAGGTTAACTCTTGGATTTTTTCATCCGAAACACAGAAAAACATAAATCAAAGCAAAATCCTAAGAATATTTGCACTTTACCTTTTTAGTACTAGGGTAAGAGTTGGATGTTTTGCCAATCTATAATTAATGAGAAAACCAAGGCCTCTTAGAAAAGATTTCACACGCTGTCTGAAATAATGATGAAGACCACCAACCTCACAAGGATCTTAAGCATCTATACCAGTGGAAACACTGAAAGAAAAGCACCCTTATTGAAACTTATTTTCCATTTCTCAGAGGCATTTACCCACTCACATCAGAGACCACACTTGGAATTGCCCCTGATGTTGTGCGTATGGATACAAGGACATGGAAGAACAGCCCCAGTTTCGGCATGACTTTTGCCCTTTGTACTCTTTCCACCAAAAGGAAGAAAATTGAAAACACCCTCCATATCTGCTTATCCTCAGAGGATCTATGCTACTTTCAAATTCACATTATTTTCCTCCCAGAGAAGAAGCTGTTACTGCATATTACTTCTCACTCATTACGGCAAACTGATTGGATATCCATTTGCAGAGAAAATATATTTTCTAGCTTTTTTTTTTTTTAAGTGTTTTCTTTTTTCCCTCCCACTGGAAAGCCTTTAGTGTTTTGGGCAGATCCTTCCTGATATGGAAATGATTCTAACAAAACGAAGTCATGTTAAGCAGAGATTTTGAAAGGGCTTTGTCCAAGCAGTGGTCATCTTTCGGAGCCAAAGTGCAGAGCGGCAGCAGGACAGCAGAGGGAGATGGTGCTCAATGGAGGAAGAAAGGGCCAGGGTCCCTCCACAGTGCGAGGATCGCCTGTACTCACCCCAAAACAACATTCAGACCAACAGCGGCACTAGGGAGAAACAGAAACTACAGCTGTTAGTTCACCCGCTGCGGGTGAAGGCTGGTGTAAATGACTGTCAGCTCACAACTCTGCTGTCTGTGCGTGTCACGTTGGTGAGGCCCGGTGGGCAGTGACCTTGGTGGGCCACAGAAGCGCCGGGCTGCCTCCAGCAAGGGCACCCTTTACTGCTAGCGTGCATAGTGCCGGTGCGTTGGGCCTCCAATTAAAATGCTAAAATATGGTTCCAGGAGAAAGTTTAACAGATTATTATCTTTCCTGCACGGAAGGAGGTGAGTACTGGGACATATCTGTTTAAAGTGACCGTGCAAATGACACTTTGATGTTCCATATTTATAGTATTCCTCACCAGCGGCTTGCATATTAAAGGCTAGATTATACCAGAATCGTTGCTTTGCAGTAGGCAGTTCCAGTTGAGCTGGAGGAGCCGGCCACAGACAACAGCCATTAATTTATTAGCAGTTTCCTCTAAGAGGTAGACTCAGAGGATCTTTCAAGGAACATTATATCTTTGTCCTGTTTTTCACCTGAAAAAAGTTATTCTGGGTGCTAAATTCCTCTGTTGTGAGCACAAGTCAACATCCAACTTCAAGTGACCAGCCTTCTAACGTACTTCGGAAAATTTTATGTGCTGTGCAGAAGGTCCAGGAAAGACTTTGTTCCTTGGAGGAATCTTTCCCTTCCAGAATTTAAGTCCTTCTCTCTCTGTATTATTCCCCATCCTACAGGTGTACAGGGCTCTCCCTTCCTCTAAGTTGTTGGCTTTCATCCACTGGCAAGAGCAAGGGAGAAAAAATATAAACCTGATATACCAATGAGTTGCTTCACCACCAAGACATCACTCCAAATTAACTTTGAGATATTTCTATTTCTGGTTTTGTATAATTCATGCTGTTTTTTTTTCACTCAAAAGGGTATTTTCAAATTGTAAGTATGCTTTTGATTATAATACCCAATTTTGTCCAAAACCATTTTTTTTCTTTCCCTTAGTATAATGAGACAGAAAGGTTTTAGTGATTACAATAGCAGAACAAAATTTCCCCGTAGTTTTCTCACTGAATATACCTGCTCTGGCTTGAAAGAAAATGTGGAAGATAGATACACTAGAAATTAGGCAGAAATAAGATGTCACTTTAATAGCTAAATTGCTAAATGCTGTTTACTGTATATTCCTACAGATTAATAAGAGCTCATCTTCCTATGCCTCTGACATACTTTTATTTATTAAAACTTTAGCAAATGAATTTTCACTAGAAATATCTACATATATTTCAGCCGCAGGAAAAATAACTGTCCCTGCGCTTAAAAATCAAGGTGACTTACATATGGAAAGGTTTGGCGTGCCTATCTTTGTTGAATGATACTTAATAACTTCTCTTCATGTGTTTCTACATCTCTATAGAAGGAAATAAAGCAAAGGAGAAAACAGATAAGCACCTTGCCTTTTGAAAGAGGTAGTATGGTAGATTACTAGTAAAGTTGAATTTTTGGGTCACCTGCACCAAAAGAGAAGTGAATGTTCTACTCAGCTTTAAAAAAACACTATGTTGGAGGGTGATATCTTAGAAGAAAATATCAAACAGTTGAAATTTTATCTCCAGTTCAGCTTTTTAGTAGGCACATTTATTGGAAGAGGTAGGTGGGGTTATTACCAGAAGGAGGTAAGTAAAGATTGCTTTGGTAAAGCTCCTGTATTGGATAAGAGTCTTCAGATGCAAATATTTATCTGAACACCCAGCCTCTGAATAATGCAGAGATAGGGACAGACTGAAAGAAATTGTAGTTCATATATTGAAGAAGCTCAGGAAGGAAGAAAATGAATGTGATTAATTTGTAGCAGGCCATGGTAGTTGATGGGGTAGAGGGAAAGACATGGGGAGCAGGGAGAAAGATGAGGCTTGAGTGTGAGGCAAGCTGACAGTGGCCTAAAGCGTACCTGGCACGGCGAAAAGCTAGTGCTGGAGAGGGCTCTCCTTGGGAACAGAAGCTGCTGAGGGCACGAGCAGAAGGGAAGGATGCAGGTTATAAAGCAAACCAGGGGTGAGGCCACTGGAAGGAGCCAGAGGAAATGAGATAAAAATGATAAAGGCATTTGAAGAAGAGAAAGATTATCTGAAAAGTCAGAATAACATACAAGAGCTTTAAGCAGATAGTGTCCTTAATTTTCATCCTACAACCCTGCAGCAAATGTTATGAAGGGAACATACCAGAATTCTTTATTCAGTGGTAATCTCTAACTGTCATAATAACCCCTTGGAGCTTTTGGCAGACTCCAATTTAAAATGCCTTTGAGATACATTAACATGACACAACTCAACCTAGCTTCAAGAGATCTTAAAACTGCCCTAACTCAATGTGGAGGCTTCACCTGCAAGTCAGAGGCTGGAGCTGGGCTTTGTATTTCAGTTTCTCCAAGCAAGTTCAGATTATATAATGTGTTAACCGAAGGATACTCTTCCCTTAAGAGTATTGCCAAAGGAAATACTGGGGCAGGGGAGGCATGAATCTGAAAAGTGGGTTTCGATAACTACTGAAATGACTATGAGGATTGAGTTTACCATCCCTAGATGTTTTGGTGCCTTTCTGGCAGTTACGCAAATGCATTCATGTGCTCAGTCCATGGACAGCTGAATGACATTGTCTGACCTAAATGGTAGGTTTCCTCATTTGTCCAGTGTAATGGTTCTTTCTGGCTTCCTCATTTGTCATCATGAATATGTAATCCTTTGATACCTGTGGCTCTTTTGTGACTACGGGTTCATGGGACAGGCTGTTTCCAGTCGCCAAACTGATTGATAATTCTGTTAAGATAGCTGGACAGAAGTCCAGTCTCTCATAGTGATATTTGTTAGCAAGCTTTATGGATTTTAAGTAAGAGGAAGGGAATCAAATACTGCAGGTGAATTACACTTCAGATTTCAGCTGACTGCAGGTGGCAGCGTTTTACAGTTTTGAACAAGCTTTTATGTGTTACTCAGGAGTCAGGTGTCAACCACTGTTATGGTCCTGAATGATACTTGCTGCCAAATATAGAATGCAGCACTGCCCTCTGGGGTATCGGCTAATCCTCCCCGTTTGGTATCATCAGCAAACTTGCTGAGGGAGCACTCTGTGCCTTCATCCAGGTCATTGATGAATAAATTGAACAGGACTGGACCAAGGACTGACCCCTGGGGGACCCCACTAGCCACAGGCCTCCAACTAGACTCTGCACCGCTGATCACCACTCTCTGGGCCCTGCCATCCAGTCAGTTCCTAATCCATCTCACTGTCCACTCATCTATCCCACAGTTCCGGAGCTTGCCCGGGAGGATGTTGTGAGGGACGGTGTCAAAAGCCTTGGTGAAGTCGAGATAGACGACATCCACCGCTCTCCCCTCGTCTATCCAGCCGGTCATTTCATCATAGAAGGCTATCAGGTTAGTCAGGCAAGATTTTCCCTTGGTGAATCCATGCTGACTACTCTTGAGCACCTTCTTGTCCTCCATGTGCCTGGAGACAACAGCCAGTATGAGCCGTTCCATCACTTTTCCGGGGACGGAGGTAAATATGGTGCCAGCAGTACTGGCATGATGTGAAGCGAAGTCCATTTGACAAACACCGTGTGTGCAATGACCCCCTGGAAGTGAAATCGCCCAAGAAGCAGGAGAGACTTGCATGTATTTATCAGGTGTTCAGAGATACAGAAGGGTAATGAGATGAATCATGATTTCCAGAATGTACCACAACTTGGCAATTCTGAGATACCCACACACATCAAAGCCCAGAGCTAAGTATTTAAAACTCAAAGGATTCTTTTCCACTTAGACTGTTAATGAATCCACAATAACTATTGGGTAGCACAGCTGCATCACTTAAGATAGTTTAAAAAAAGAGCAAAGCAAAGGCAGAGAAGGGCAACAGCTGCCCTTGGCTATTTAGAAAATTCCCTTGCAGTTTGTCTCTCCTTCTGCATACACTTTTTTTGGAAGAAATAAAAGTTTGCCACTCAAGTGGTCACCATAGTGAGCCCAATCACATAACCTTTGCTCATACAATCCTGCCGAATTATTCACCAGTGTACATGATTTAGTAAATACTTAAGGAAAAGAGAGAGAAGCATTTCTTGAGCTAGCTCCTTAGCTGGTATAAATCATATACCTCAGCTGAAGTCAGTGAGGGATACTTATTTGTGCTAGCTGCTGGGCTAATAAGGTTTCTGAAGAACATAGGAGATAAAAATGTTAAAAAAGAAAAAGGTATGTCGTTGTGGTTATGGCAGGCCCTCACTGGCAATTGATGGACAAAGAGCAGAACTGGAAGAGTAATTACTCATGAATAATATAAATGATGAATGTCTCTTTTTCTGTTTATTTCTCATGAATTGTCTGAAAGAGGTCTCTGTTTTCTCAGCTGTGCTCCTTACTTTAAATTATTTGCCAGATTGTTCTTGTAAATAATTCACACTCATCTGCAAGCAACATACTGGAAGACTTCTGAATAGGTGAGTGGGTCTTTTAGTGGCCATGAATTTGTCTTCTCTCCTTCTTTCACATTGACTTCACTTGGGTTAGGTCACCAGCATGAGTGAAGGATGCACATGAAATAATTAGTAATTAATAGCATTGAGCTACACCTGCCCATATGTCTTTCTAGAAGCAGATACAGTTCCAAGTAGAAAATGCCAGCCTTGATAGTCAGAAATTTTTCAAAGGCTAGCGGGTTCTCCAGGCTCCTCTCTGAGCTGGCACCCTGTCTGAGTGAAGCGTTAGTGAAGCAGCAGGGTCATAGATGAAGGTTCATCTATCTGTAAGGGAGGTGGTTCGCAGTAAATAGCTTTTAGTGCATGAACTTTGCTTTACTACAGTCAGTGCTATTCATTGAGGTCATTAGTCAATTCAAAGGCACAGAAAAAAAAAAGTGTAGTTGCTAGTTTTCCATCTCACTTAAACATATGGGACTGCACTGTTTAACATACTCTGAGACTAGTCTTCACCCATAAAAGTGACAGGTAAACCAAGTAGCTGACATAAATTTGGTACACATTAGCAAACAGGAGGCACCCTCGGTGTGTGCGCACACTAGCCTGTGTGCAGCTTATTTACAGCACTGAAGG